GTTTAGCTGCCTATTGCCACCATTTGAGTGCCTATAGCCATCATTTGAGTGCCTATAGCTACTGTTTAGCTGCCTATTGCCACCATTTGAGTGCCTATAGCCATCATTTGAGTGCCTATAGCTACTGTTTAGCTGCCTATTGCCACCATTTGAGTGCCTATAGCCATCATTTGAGTGCCTATAGCTACTGTTTAGCTGCCTATTGCCACCATTTGAGTGCCTATAGCCATCATTTGAGTGCCTATAGCTACTGTTTAGCTGCCTATTGCCACCATTTGAGTGCCTATAGCCATCATTTGAGTGCCTATAGCTACTGTTTAGCTGCCTATTGCCACCATTTGAGTGCCTATAGCCATCATTTGAGTGCCTATAGCTACTGTTTAGCTGCCTATTGCCACCATTTGAGTGCCTATAGCCATCATTTGAGTGCCTATAGCTACTGTTTAGCTGCCTATTGCCACCATTTGAGTGCCTATAGCCACCATTTGAGTGCCTATAGCCATCATTTGAGTGCCTATAGCTACTGATTGGCTGAATATAGCTACTGTTTAGCTGCCTATAGCTACTGGTTTTGTGTTTTGCTAATTTCAGCTTCTGTTCTGCTCTATAATTCAGTTTTAGCTTCTTCATTTAATTTCAGCAGTTCTTCAGCACTCTGCATTACTTTCTCACATAAATGCATTATCTCTAGTTTTTGTTTGTTTTGCTTTTTTTGGCTGTTTTGTATTTTTTGGTGATAGAGGAAGCGAGGGATGTCTTCTCCTGTCCTTTTTTTATTTAACATGACAAACCCTTCAGTCTGCAGGGACAGCAGCCTGCCTAATCCTTCAGATTAAAAGCAGCAGTCAGTCGTGTGGCGGCCGGCTTCAGAAGCAGCATAAAGACAATCTAAACTACATCATGATTAGAAACGTGCCGAGCATGTGGCTTTGATTAGCTACAAGCCGAGCCTGAGCTGAACACAGACGAGCACATCTGTATCATAACCACTCCTGTCAATCAAACGTGCAGACATAAAGACTGAAGAGCCTTCCAGAGTGTTGATGAAGACATTTAAATGAGCAAACTGACATCTCATTACATCAACATGTTCCCTTTTTCATTTAATGCCACTCATTTAAAAACACAATAAAAAAACAGCTTCCACAGAACAGGGCATAACATTTAAAGTCAGGACTGTAGGTGGAATAATACATACTGGTAATTAAAAGAATGTTCCCAAACCAATGACTGAACAGAAATAAAGTGTCCTATTTAACAGTTTCACATAAGTGTTTAACTGAAGTGCACGATTGTCCACATAAAGCAACAAAACAGCTACATCAGTGAAAATAAAAGTGACAGCATGAAATAATCATAGTAAACCATATTCCGCTTTTGCACCAGGAATTAATATCTATATTTATTCGTAAACAAGTGAATTGTCTTGATTTTTGATACTGTGTCAGTGTGTAAAGGATGTATAAAACACTAGTGTTCAGAAGTGGATAAAATGTGCCTGAGATACTGCTGCTCATTATTTCTCTGTTCCCTTTTTATCAGCCACAGCCAGCTGACCTTAACAAAAACAAAACTGGCTAAAATTCAGTTATTTTTACAGATATGCAGTTAAAATTTGGTGTGGTAGTAGCTGAGAGTCATTTACAACCCTTAGTGCATAAAGACCTTTACAAAGTTTGACCARAGCAGTTCCAACTTCATTCCCTCTCAGCACAGGAGGATTTCGGTTTCAGTTTTTGGMATATAAGGCAGTGGGCAATACACATTTAATTTAACTCAGTGTCTTTGGTTTATGTTTCCCTTTGTTTTCTGATTTTTTTTCCTTTTTTTCCGGACCAGAGGGGTTTATGAATTTGTGATCCACGTAACAATGATGACAGACAGACTGATAACACCCATAATCACCCCCAAGATAACGAGCAGCAGAGCCTGGAGACAAAATATAAAATAAATGAAAAACCTGTGAGTGCAGCAACGACATAAATCAGGTGAAAAGTATCAAACTGAGGATTTACCCCAACTGAGTYGATGGATTTGAGGCAACGGTCGCTGATTTTGAGGTAGAAGACGCCTGGAAAAACAAACAGCAGGCAGCTGGACGTGGTTGAACCTGAGAAACAAAACAGGAAAGACTTCTTAAAMGGCACAGACAACAAGCTGCATGTTGGATAACAGAAGCTTCATAAACCGTTGGTTCAGGAAGACAACATTAAATATGCAGGAGCAGGCCGTGTAATTTCAGCAGCGGCAATCAATACCAGTGGAATTGTGAAACGTTAGCTGCTCTTAATGTCCTTTTTGMTGCTGAAAAGAAACTGAGCAGCTAAATTTGCAGTTATCTTTCTGTATTAAAAGATTTGTTCCATACCTACTACTCCAAACACAGTCCTTATATCAGGCACAAAGGTGGCCAGTATTAGCACCACGCTCAGGATGATTAGTGTTGAGATGATGTGGATCCACCAGGAGAAGGCACGACCTCCAAACAGCAGCAAAATCACAGCCTTACGAGCCTTTAGCATTCAAACAAATACAGCTATTTCAGTTCAAACATGAGCTTTTGTTACTATATTATCATCCAGGCAGCCTAACAATACAATCACCGACATGTAAAATTACATCCTGACTTTACCAAATTTCACAGAATTGAGCCTGAATTAAAAGCACGAGCAAACTGAGATACTTTTCTGCCCTATAGAGTTAAACAGATATCATGTGTCTTGGTGCGCTCACAGGGAAGTGTATGAGCGGCACAGTCAGCAGCACAGAGAGGAGGATGGCCACCCGGACCGTCATCACCATGATGTCCCGCGGCAAGTACGTCTTGTAGCCAAGCAGCAGCTCAGATTCCACATGACCTACAAGCAGCGGACAAGACAAGTGAGGGCGCAGACAGAGTGGAAACTCGATGACGAGTGTCCCCGCAGGCTTACCGTAGAAGGTGAGGTAACCAAACAGAGCAGAAATGAAGTAAAGCAGGAAGCTGAGGCCAATGCCRATGTTTGAAACGTTCTGCATCCTGGTCTTGGAGGGTCTAAAAGACATGAGGACAATCGCTGAGCAGAGCGTTCACACTCATCACCAGCAGAGTTGGTCATTTTGGAAAGCTGACCGTTCTAATTCACAGTAGATCGGCAGGATAGCTGTGTGGCACAGAAAGGAGAAGGCCATGGTGGGGATGGCGTAGGCACTCTGCAACAAACACCAGTCACAGTAAAAACGTCACTGACAAATTATCAGCTTACTGCGGTGCACAGGAGGGAGGTGTTACAGTGTCCTCTAAATGTCCTCCACACTACCAGCAAATATACACTTTACTGCAGAAATAGAAGCAGCAGATTCTTTTAGCCTAAATGTAATCATGTCTACATATGGCCTCAGCATGCAGCATAAATGTGAGTGGCAGCAGGATAGGCGCTGCTTGACTTCTTTATAAAAACACACCAATTCTTTATAGGTGAGAGTGTGAGCTGTCAGCAGAGTCAAACAACTGGCATTCGCCAGCTTCTCACTGCCTCTACAAAGGCTCAGTGTGAAGAAAAAAAAAACTAGAGTTTCATATACGCACCCTGGTCGACATGATGAAGAGTTTGGGCGTACATTCTGAGTCAGAGGTATTTGATACCTGCAAAAAAAAAAAAAAATACAAGGGAGAAAAATAGAAAACGTTTTTCCCCCCTGTTGAAAAGAGAAATATATTTTCACAATTTAGTCTTGCTGCTAAGGGGAAATACGTTTCCTAAAGTTAATCCCTAAGCTAACCCACGCAAGGTCTGGAGTTGTTGCTCGGTGTAGAATTTCTAAAAGTCAGAGTTCATTTCCAGGATCAGACAGGGTCACCTGGACTTCCTTCCCTTTAGGACTGGTTTTATTCACCGTGCACAGCTCTCTGCATGCCTCTCTGGTCCTCATCAGCCAAAACTGACACAATCACTAAACTCAATATCCTGCGTTTTCTTCCTGAGCTTGTGGCCGTGACCTTCTGGTCAAAAACTCCCTACAACTCAGACTTATGTCTTACAGAAGCCTGAACCCACCTACTCAATCAAAATGTTCATTATTTTCATTAAACTTCACAACAAACACTCTGATGTTCTACGTTATTTAATTTATAGAAACAATACGACTATTTCAGTTCAACATGACCAGAATTGTTCCTGATGTTTAGTATTTGTGGCTGGAGAAATCATCTACCTGGAAAGTGCCTGTTAGTGTCGTCTCGTTGTGAGGCAGAGGACAGGGAATGGACCATTTCTTCACCACAACCTACAGACGAGACGATGCAGAGTCAACAATGGAAGAAATGCTGATGACGTATGTTTGAATGTTTATGACAAAGCTTACCACAATTGTAAAATACAGTATAAAGAAGAAGGAAAGACTGCTGGTGTAGCCCAGGAAGCCTGTGAGTGAAAAAAAAAAACATCCATTAAGATCAAGTGAAACAAACTAGTCTGAGCAGAAAATCTAAAAGTTTCGAGTTCTTACCAATTTTAGGAAGCATAGCTAAAGGCAGAACGACACAAACCGTGACAAGAATCAGAAGCAACCTGCCATCAGCATACCAAGCATGTCTGAAAACATACAAATATGTGCGTTATCGAAGGCAAATTAAGCCACATTTCTTATCCTCATCATTTTCTGCGTCTTGAAACGCTTCAGGATGGACCAGTTCTGGAAATCTGTCTCCATTTCGAGCCCAAATAGAAAGCRACAGACTCGTCATGTGGTACGAATTAAAGGCTTTAGCTCTTGCAAATCATAACAATTATGTAATTCACATGCTAACGTTGTGCTGCACCATCAGATGGGACCAGGTTTCTCTCACTGGGTTTTTCGAGAAGAGAATAATATTTTCCTTCGCTGAGGGGCAGCCTTGGCGGTTTATTTGGGATCGGGGAGTTCGAGGAGGAGGGRGAGGGGTGTTGGAGTGACACATGTGGAAAACACGCCGGCTCCGCTGGGGTCGGGTCGGGCAGGAGGGGTGCTGCTCGTCGCTGCTGTACGTTGGACCCGCAGCGTGGGGGCCACGAGGGACTGGCTCCACTTTTCTTTACGAGGGCTTCCAGAGTCAGCAGCACCTGCTCGGACCACATCAACAGCCACTGACCCCCGTTTGGCACGTCCACAGCTGTGGCGTTACTATAGGCGCTGATGGATTTGTCTCTGTGTCTACATACATTCTGTCCCATAACTGCACGTCAGGGTGACCTTTGCTCTGACCTTCTGCTCATTATGTCCACTCCAAGACAAGTTTAGATCAAAAAAATTGAACAGTAACGTTTAAAACAAAGGATTACATTTTAGGAGAATTCAAATTCACTGTAAAAGGCTTCAGGTTAGTACACAAGCCATGAAATGTGAAGCATTTAACGCAGAAACAAGACACTGAATATCCCAGAGTTAACTTTGGAATATGACAATGTCCACACAGTTCTGAAGATCAGCATAAATCTGAAAAAAAAAAATGCAGCCCAATCCAACAGCTGTTTAGTATAAATCCCAATAAAAGAAAAAGGATGCGCAAGCTTTTTTTTCCTTTTTTTTTAAACCAGAAACAGAAAGAGATCAAGCACGCCTGTTTTCGCTTTGCCGCATTATAATAAATGAGCCGGCAAAAAGTAGCAAGTTTTAATATAAAACAACTCATTTATTCAGGCTTTGGTGGAACCGGGTGCACGCCTCTCAACATCCCAAAGCCGCTCATTAACAGAAATGTTTTGCTCCCCACCACAGTCAGCTGTAATTAGAATGGCAAAACTGATATCCCCTTGTATCAGTCTGATTCGGGGGTGAACATGTGTGAGAGATTTTGAGTAACGGGGAGTGGGGGGGCACACTAATACAGAGCAGCTGTGTGTGGAAGAGTCAGATGTTGACAGATGGGGCTGAGAGCTGCTACAAGTCTCGCTTAAACCAGTGTGGCCAATAATAAAGTGATGTACACTACATTCTTGTCCGGGGACTTTTCTCTGCGAGGAGGAGAAGCTGCATCCACGTGGGTCAATGAAAGATTCAGGCTGCTGAGAAGTGATGAACGACTTCCTTCATCATGAATAATATTCCTTTGGACATCATTTATTTTGCTCAATAGACACAAAGCTGAGAGGGGTTTGATCCACAGAATTATTCATACATTTCTCATTTTTGTTTGTGTAATTTTGAAGGATCATTGATAACTCTCAGTAGCCATTTTGTCAAAAGAAGACGCTCACAGTTCTGTACCCACCCTGTGTTTTCTGAGCTCAGGAAGCTGCAAATGGCTGCAGGAAGCTCCGACTTCAAGATGAACAAATAAGACGACATGGCTGCGGAGACAAAGATGTAAAAAAATAAATGAATGCAATCATAAACTTAGAAATCACAAATACAGCAAATGCACAGATGCTAGTTCAATGCACTGTGAGAAAATGGCAAGACAGTGGGGGGATACAATAAAATGAGAGGAAGAGGTGGGGGGTAGTGTCATCGGGGTCTACGTTCTGCAGATCTTCACACTGCTGGAGAGCAGCCAGGATGGAGAATTGAAAGAGTGGTGTGTGTGTGCGTGTGTGTGTGTGTGTGTGTGTGTGTGTTGCCGGTGAGTGTTAGGTAGAGTTCAACCATACTGGTGACATCAATCTGCCTGTTCTTTATTAGACGGAGCAGTGAGGTGTAACTGACTGCATTGTCCACAGATGGACTGGGGCCCACAGCACACGGGACCCCGGTCAGCCACCCTGACAATACAATCAATAACCACACACTCATTACAGGAGCCTCTCCTGCTTTTCTCCTCGCCTTCCTGCCCTGTAGAGCTGCTCCAATATATTTCACCTAAAATTGAACTTTTTTCTGTCATTTTTGATTTCCTTTTTAAGTGTCTTTTTTATTTTTTTGCATTTGTACATTCGATTATTTCTTTTAAATTTAAGTCAAGGCTGGGAAGGGTAAAGGGACACCTAAAACTGCTGCAGTATTCTAGGCTGGACAGTACTGGATGACAGTGATCCAGCATGGAGCCTGAGGCCTATAAATGGTAATGCCCTCCACTTGCCTTCCTCATAAAGCATAATAAAAGGAGGTTATAAATCCAACCAATTAGCTGTGTCTATCAGTCGCCTTAATTGGAGTGTCATGACTGGCTAAGGGATGACCTTGCGAGCGACAGAGCTAAGACAGAAGAGGAGGCCAGAGGGGACATCTGAGTGGACGACTTGTGCTTCTTTAAATCAACTCGATCCAACAGGCCATACTGTAGTTAGGGGCCAGGTCACATAGTGGTTTTTGCTGATGTGTGAATTTAGAGCCTCTCTGCGGGACAATATGGCTGGTGGATTGCGAAGCCCTGAAAATTCACAGACGGTCCTTTGATCCGTGAACCCAGGTGCTCTGAATTCAATAGGCCCTGCTCGTCATCCTGCACTTGTTCTTTCTTCCGCTCTGAGTCAAATCTACCCTCTGTCTTCCTGTGTGCCCGGCCAACAACTTTCCACTCAACGCCTCAGTCACTTTGCAGCCTCTCAAACCCGAAACCTCTGCTTCCTTTTCCTCTACGAGCATCCACTATCCCATGACACCACTCGGTCCCAGAGGAAACACTGAGCCTGTTTGTCCTCGTTCGGGCACTGGTGCGTCTTCTCTCACTGTTCCCATCCCTCCGCCTCAGGATTAGCCGGTAAAGACCAGTTAACCAACCAGCTGTCAGGGAAGGGTTCCTCTGCGGGGCCAAATGAGAGCCGACGACAGTTGTTTCCTCTTCGCTCTGAACGTCCGGAGATAATTCAGTCAACAGACTTTGAACTGCAGATAAGGGAGGAAGAGGATGATCCCAGGCATGGTCCTGCTCTGTGTGGGGCAGGGGCAAAGGCAGGTGTATGGAAACTAGAGAGGGCCAAGTAAGATAACACCTGAAACAGATGCTATGGTTTAATTTGCACCACCCTCTGGCCTATAATGAGACATATCATGCATTAAAGCCTTCTTTTTCACATTTAAACCATTCAGTTGGGCTCTATATGATGTGGAACTGCAATGCTTTGGTCTGAATATCCCCTTGTAACTCCACAAGCCCCTCTTTCACCTCTTTTCTGAGGTTTGTTTGAGATCAACTCATTTTGATGCTGTCCCTTTAAATCCAAACATGGTGATTCACACCCTGCCCCCCACCCAGCTTCCATACTGGTCCATTCTAGTTGGATAGAAGGTTTATGGGGGTTTACGACTAAATAGTGGCTGAGAAACATTTTACTAAAAATTAATTAAACGATGACAACCACAGAAGACTTGTCCATYCARMCTTMCATGTTGGAGCCAGAGTCTGACCCAGAGCCAGAGGAGAATGAAGACCACCAAATTGTAGTTGGTAAGTCCAGATCTTATTTGGCAGTTCCATCGCATGATTTGATGTAATAATTCAGAAAACGTCATAGAAAATTGGGAAAACTGAACAGGTTGAAAAAAAAATATGAACCAAACAGAATAAAAAGATATCTACGCTGCACCAGGAGAGACTAAATTAAACTTTTCTACACTTCTAGAGATTCCAAGTACACAACAAAATTACTTTAAAAATAGATTTTGCTTGATTTATCCCCTTTAAAATTTGTTTTTAAAGAAGTATATAAAAATCTGACATAGAGCTTGGTTCAGATTTTATAAAAAATATTTTATTCTAGAATTATAACAACAACAAAGTTCTGACAGCTCTCAAATNGGGGACAGGAATGCTAACAGTAATGATCTCTGACGCTAATCCAGGTACTTCCACCCTTTCTCCACCTCGCTAGGAAACGGGATACTTCCCCCGAACGCTCAGACAGCCAATCAGAGTGAGGTTCGGGGTCATTTCCTGTGAGTCAGCCCCAAAAAACTCCAGAAACAACGTGGGGAGCAAGAAAAAAATGAGCGCATTTGGTGTGAGGAGGTGCTCCGGGTGCAGAGTGCCGCTGGTCATGAGATGAGGGTAAATTTAAGGGATTTAGATTTGTGAATCCAGGCATATGTGGGGTTAGATGGGACCTTCTTGCCCCGAGGGCAGGTATTGCACTCTCTGTTAAATAATCTCCGCCATAATCTCTCTGATCCTGTATTTGTTATTAAAGGAAAATTCCTCCAGCCCACACAGACACAAGCACATTCTCTGAGCAATACCTCTGGCACTATTAAGCACTAAAATCTATCAATAAAGGGTTATTTTGAGACAGGAAAAGCTTATCTGAAAAAAAATACCAAAAGAAAAAGCACACAGAAATGAATAAAAAAAGACACACTGACGAGAAGAGTTCCACAACACACATGACGCGGTGGTTTAATTTCATGCAGYAGGTCACAAAACACAACACTGCTTCTACAGGAACTGCTGGTGCGATAATACTTACATGTCTAAACAAAAACAGCCCTTGAGTGAACAAAGAAGATTGTTATTGGCCAAGTGGTAAGAAAACACATTCTAATAACACGCATGTATGTAAAGTTCAAGGAAAATTGAGGTAAGTCCACTGTGTGTGGTCAGCAAATAGCTGGAGAGTGTGTTCAACAAAAGACAGAGCCACTTTCATTTCATTAGGAGCACAGAGAGAGGCAGGCTGTGAGAGCCAGGGGCTGGTCAGTAATTAAGGTCAATTGGCCCATCAGCCTTTGGCAGTGCAGATGAATGTTTACCCAGAGTGAGGCTAATTGCACTCTTATAAAAAGGGGCTTGAGGTATAGACAGATGCAAGCTGGAGTGCTGGCTCTCACACTCTTGCACACACGGCCCCATGCTGGGAAAACCACAAACACCGAAAACACGGCAGTGATCTACTCAGCTGTGCCACTAATGACGGCATGAGAGCAATCGCTTCTGCTTTCAGCTGTAAAATGAGTGCAGACGGTGGTCTGAGACTGGAGGGAAAATAAATAAATAGGGAGGGGTCTCGATAAGTTACTCTGCGCACAAAAAAAACAAAAACGATGGGAGTGAGTTCACCATCAGCAATCGATTGGAGAAGAAGAGATTCAGGCCCAGGGGAGAGGGCAGAGAGGATAGCAGCTTCAGGGTCGGAGGTTATCAGGGAGTCTAGATAATAGCCTTACAGTGTGGGGGGAGAGGAGGTGGGGTAACAAACCTCGTCATAGAGCCTGCTGCTCACCAGCAGGAGGCAGTATCTTCCTCCAAAAGTCAACAAACTGATCTTGCAGCGTTCCTTACCCCGTGCTTATCATAAAAACCACAATCTGTTTATGTTTGACATGTCAGGAATAATAAAACATCTGTTAGTGAACACTGAAATGAGCTTACCACCAATATTTTGGGCGACAATAGCAATTCCAACCATGACCTGGAGAGAATTTTAGAAAGACATTTAGCAGGAATGACCTTCCTGGAAACCAGGAGTGTGTGAACAGATCGACTGGGCAAATATCCAGCAATTGAAAAAACAATAATAATAAATAAAAGGTAAAACGTACTTTTCCTGGTTTGTGTAATGCTTTCTCACCAAGGTCTTCATATGAGTTGATACCTACAATGTTAAAAAAAGCAGCTTTGATAAAAGAACACTTTAGATGTTGAGGATAACACAAGCTGACACGATGAAGTAAAGAGGAAGCATTAAAGTTGTGCGATAGCCAGAATGTCCTATAAAAACTGATTTAGWGGCAATCAACAAATTACATTTCTTTTTGTAATCTATTTTAGAATTTTCTTTTTTAAATCCCTTTGATCCTTTTCCAAACATCACCAACCAGGACTTGGAGCTTGAATCGTTTTTTTTAAAAACACATAAGCTAGCTTTGCTTTGAATGATTCAATCAGGGGCGCAAAGAAGAAGAGCTGGTTCAGGGTATGACGTCTAGAATAATCTCTTTAGATAGGCCTACAAGAATGTGTTTTCTAAACGTGTTATCKCTCACCTGTTTGATCACAAAGCTTCAGAAGGAGATGTATAGAGTATGCTGCCAGGCTGGAAACCAGTACTAACAAGATGCTGAAGAATAAAAATCAGAGCATAAACTAAAAAGTCATGTTGTTCAACTGTAAACATGGAGCAGATGTTAAAAGAAAACTTGAATCAGGGAAATCTTACCAAAAACCAACTACTCCTGTGCTGGCCATAGCATAAGCTAGACCAAGTATTCCACTGCCCATGATGGCATTCATCAGGTTAAAAACAGAGGAGGCGAAGGAGGCTCCGGTGGCTCTGGTTTGTACTGTTCCCTACAAACACCACAGATAGATAAATATTCTGGGTAAGACTGCAGTGTGAAGTGGGAAAAAAAGTAGCTGAGCAGGAAATCTGATTATTTATGTAGACGCCTTAGGTTGATTCCTCATCGCAGTATTAAGAACAACTGGTTGGCCCGATGATGGATGCCCTAAAACAACACAGCAGTGGCATGTGGGATCAGGGGATAGAAATGGGAATGGATGGGTGGGATTTGAGATGCTGGCTGTTGGACAGCTGCCTGAGCTTGGGATAAAGGGAGTTGCCCAAACTGCTTGACCTCTCTAATGGGGGATATCCTGGACAGAACGAGCTGCAACTCTGGTGTCAGTGTCACAACAAGCTTGGATTGACCTGCGGGCTGCTCTGTTGGATTCACCCTGTTACAGTCCTGAAAGACAGGAAGTAAACTGCAGTAACCAGGCAAAGGAAAATACAGCGGGTAAAATAAGTATTGAACACGTCACCATTTTTCTCAGTAAATATATTACTAGAGGTGCTAATG